TTCAGATACAAGCTTTCATTATTGAATTAGCAAAACCACCCTAAACCTCCTCCCTTCCCAGTACATAAAGCCCCCTGACTTATATCCCTCAGAATTCTGCTCATTTTCATGCATTTATTTGCCTAAGAAGAAAATAAGCTCAGTGATTGATTTGTGGATCAGTATAGTGGTCACTGATTTTCCATGGATAATCCTAATGGGAAGGAAGGACACAGGCATCTGACATCTTTGCCTTCCTCTTTGGTCTTCGCTCTGCTGTTCTAAAGTGTTCCTTTTCAATGGGTAGGAATTTCCCTGTGTCATTCTTCCTAGGGACACTAAGCCTGGCCTAGAATTAATGGCAGATGAGATGCAAAAGAAAACAATGAACTTAGCAACAAGGACACCTAATGTGAAATATTTTGAAATTAGTATCTCCTTGAAAACAATAAAAGAAATTGAAAAAAGACCTGAATAAATGGAAAGGCTTTTTGTTCATGGATTGAAAGACTTAGTATTATTATATTCCTCAAAGTGATCTATAGAGTCAATACAATCCTTATTAAAATTCCAAAAGCCTTTGTTGCAAAAATGGAAAAGTTAATCTTCAAATTTAAATGAAATTGAAAGAAACCCCAAATTGCCAAAGCAATTTTGAAGATGAAGAAGAATAAGGACTACTCATTATTTCTGATTTCAAAACATACCATAAGCCTACAGTAATCAAAACAATCCGGTACAGGTGATAGGATAGGCACACGGATCAATGGAATAGAACTGAGATTCCAGGCAAAGAGTCATACATCTACAGTACATTGATATTTGATAAAGGTGTCAAGTCCATGCAATGGGGAGAGAATACCCTCTTCAATAATGGTGATGGGACTTCTGAATCTCCAACAACAAAAGAATGAAATTAGTCCCAAATTTCATGCCATATATGAAAATTAGTTCAAGATGGATCAAAGATCTAAATGTAAGAAATAAAACTCTTAGAACAAAATGTAGGAGTAATGTTTGGGGGGCTAGTATTAAAAAAAAATGATTCTTAGATATAATACCAAAATCACAAAGCAAATATTTAAATAGCTAAATTACACTTCATCAAAATGTAAAATGTTTGTGCATCAAAGGACTTTAGTAACAAAGTGAACTGACAACCTACAGAAGGAGAGAAAATATTTAGAAACCACACACCTGATACAGGCTTAATTAATATCCAGAATGTGTGAAGAACTCCTACAACTCAACAAAAAAAGGACAAACAACCCAATCACAAAATGGGCAAAAGACTTGAATAGACATTTCACCAAATAAGATATACAAATGGTCTATATGCATATGAAAAGATTATCAAGGTCACTAGTCATTGTTGTTGTTAAGTGCCATCAAGTTGATTCTGATTCATAGTGACCATGTACAGGGTTTCGAAGGAGTAACTGGTGTGTTTGAACCTCCGACCTTGTGGTTCCAAGTCCAGGGCTTTCCTACAGTACCACACTACTAGTCATTAATGAAATCTAAATCAAAACCACTTCAGCCTTACTAGGATTCAGGAGCCCTGGTGATGCAGAGTTAAAGCATTCAACTTTTAACCAAATGGTCAGTCATTGGGACCCAGCAGCTGTTCTACAGGAGAAAGATGGAGCAGTCTGCGCTCCTAAAGAATGCCCCAGAGTAGAACTGGGGCAGTCCTACTCTGTCATTATGAGTTGAATATATTCAATGGCAATAAACTAAAGGATAGCTCTTATCAGAAAAACAGAAACAAATAAATGTGAGCCACGATACGTGAAATTTGGAACTTCTATCCATTGCTGATGAGATTGTAAAATGGTGCAATCACTATGAACAACAGTATGGTTGTTATTCAAAATGTTAAACATACAATTACTATGTGACCCAGTAGTTCTACTCCTAGATATATACCCAAAAGAACTGAAAGCAAAGACTCAAACAGACACCAGTACAACAATATTCATTGCCGCATTATTCACATAACTAACGGGTATAAACAGCCTAAATGTCAGTCAACAGAAGACTGGGTAAACAAAACATGGTATACCCACACAGTGGAATATTATTCAGCTGTAAAAAGAACGAAAGTTTTGATGCTACAACATAGATAAACCTGGAAAGCATCATGCTGAGTGTAATAAGCCACAAACAAAAGTATAAATATTGTATGATTCCCACATATATGAAATTCCTAGAATAAGAAAATGCACAGAGATCCACATTTATGAGTAGTTACAGGGGAGGGGTTGTGGGATCTGGTAGGAATGGGACATGAAGAGGCATTACTTAATGGGTACTGAGTTTCTGGTTAAGTATAATGGAAAAATTTTGGTACCATAACGTAGTGATAATTACACAACATGATGAACATAAATTATGTCACTGAATTGTTCTCATAAAAATGCTTGAAATTGTAAATGTTTTGCAATGTACATTTTACCACAATAAAAAAACCCTTAAGTAATGTCCATCCTATATACTTACATTAAGAATGAAAACCATCTGATAGGCAAAGAGAAATATGATTTACTTATTAATTTGTACACAAATTTAAAAAAAAAAAAATTATTTAGCACTTAGCATGTACCAGTGTGGTGCTGTAGGATAAGCACTGGGCTGCAAACTGCCAGGTCGGTAGTTCAAACCCACCAGTTGCTCCTTGGAAACCCTATACAGCATCACTGTGAGTTGGAACTGACTCAACAGCACTTAACACACAGGTACTCTTCTAAAAAAAAAAACGACTCACTGAATTCTTGCAGTGTTCCTATGAGGTAAAGCTCATTATTATCATCTTCATCCTATACATGAGGAAACTGAAGCACAGGACAAGTCACCTTGACCAAGGTTACAAGGCAACAGTGGATGAGCCAGGAATCAGGCAGAGACAGTTTGGCACTGCGAAACTCACACACTATTGCCACAGTATTGTCACTGTGGCAATACTAAGCACCTCTGAATATACCAGCATACTAAACACCTCTGAATACATTTCCTAATTCAATCAAAGAGGTAAATCAACTTTTTAGGAAACAAAATATGCAACAAGATTTAATGATGTGACTAGTTTTGTTTTATTTTTATTAATGAAATATATCTAAGTTTATTAGACCCACAGATACAATCCCAACAGCCTTTATAGTGTCTTTGAAGGGGAAGGATAGGGAAAGATATTTAAAGGATTTGTTTTGTGGGATGGTATTAGAAGTATTCATGTAAACTGTTTGGGTAAAAGTTTACAGAATGGAAAATTAATTTTCTATTCCACAATTTATACACATAGTTTCATGATATCAGTTGCAAGCCCTTTAATGTAGCCACACTCTTCCCACTTCCTCCCTGGGTTTTCTGTTTCCATACATCCTTTGTTCATTCATCCTTCGTTCATTCCCCTTCCAGTCTTCCGAGCTTTGTTTTGGAGCACTGCTGCCCTGTTAGTCTCAGATGGCTGACTGTACCACGGAGTGCATTCCTTCCTGGTATCATTATTCACTCTACAGTCCTGATTATTGTTTAGCTGAGAGTTGATTCCTAGAGGTGGGTTCAGTTCCAGGATTAAAAGATTACAGTCTTGAGGATTCTACCAGTTTCTATCAGACCAGGAAGTCTGATAGTTTTTTGAATTTTGTTCTACATTTTTTTCTCTCCTTCTCTGTCCAGGATGTTCTGCTGTGGTCCTTATCAAAGTGGTCAGGATGAAGTGACTAATTTTTTCAGAGAAACTTTTGCCCAGATTTTTTTTTATTTGAAAAACATAATAGCATTGGAGCAGACTTAGGAGTTAAGAGGACAAACTTCTAGAGCCTTTTATTAACAAAGAGTTCTTTCCAGCTTTCACACTTGGTCACACAATAAAACCATTTTTATATTAAACAGACTTCAAGAAAGAGACCACTAAATGTACTCTCTCCTTTTGCAAAAATCACCCAGAGACAGCATTTGCTATAAAATTATCGGAGTTTAATCGCTATCAATATCAGAACAATAGTACATTAGAGTACAAAACCTGTATGTACAATTACACATACAAAAAAACAAAAATGTTCTTTGTGAGCAGCAATTTTCAGAAAATCTGACAAACAGTAAGAGTCATTCCTATTTTGGGGTTTGAAAGAAGAAATGGAAATTTTCAAGATGCCCCTTTCCTCTGTCTGGCCGCAGTGACCCTCAGAACATCATTTGCAAAGGCCTGTGGTAGGAAGAGAGGTATTAATAACACCAGGCACTTGTTCCTCCCCTCCTATGGAAGAGATGGATTTTTAGGAAACATTTCTCATCATTTATTATACTGATGTTCCATCCATCTGCATCATTAGGTTCAGTAGTTACCATGACAATATGATGCCTACAGCAATCTAACTTGATAGCCAGATGCCAGAATGTGGGAAAAAATAGGACCAGCAAAGAAAGTGAGAGAAATATAATTAATCTGAAACACATAGAAAATGTGCACAAAACTAGGACCAAGAGGGATATTGCTGAAATCTCACTGAAGAGGGAATTAAGAAGGGAAGTAAAAATCAAGCCTCACTCTAAGAGCTATGTGCTAGTCTGTGACAAAGATAGGACTGTTACAGAAGCCAGTGTTAATATAGAAGATTGCTCTGAGCCTCTATCCCCTCCCCCTGCCTGACCCCCAACCATTTCCTGCTGCAAAGCCCAGGAGTGTCATCTTGGATTCCAGCAGTGGTATTCTTTCCTGAGGAGACTAAGCCACCATCCTAGTACTGGCTCCATGGCATTCTACGCACTTTCAATTCACTATTATGCCCAGCATTTCCATTTGGTGAAATAATGCCCATAGTTCAGAAGCTTAAGAGACCGGACCAAACTGTGTTCTTGGAAGATGCTGTCTCTTTGCCTTCTAAGCACTCAGTGGAGGCAACAAGGTAGCATGAGCCTCTTATGGGCCAGTCAATGGCAGAGAGGTTGGGAGATTAAGAAAATGAAAGGAACATACAAACTACAGTTGCAAGAGACAAATCTGGAATGGGTGTGTATTCTCATCGTGGCTGGGTTGGATAGCGGCGCTGAGCTAGGCGATTGGGCCGGTTCAGGCTAGTAGTCATGGGGAGCTGGAAAAGAAGATATGAGACTATGGGCTGACTGGTTAGCGTGAGCTAATGCACCTGGAGAGTCTCAAACACGTTATCTGAACTTGGCTTCCAAAGGTTGTGTTCTCATTATCCACTTTCACCCAATACTTGTGCCTCCCAAACATAGTTACAAGAAGTCAGACTTTATAAAGAGGGGGGGCTGGATGACGCATTAGGAAAGACAAATCTATTCCAGGTCACCGAGGAGCAAGGAACTTGGCTTCTCTGGGTTTGCAATGACACCCTCACCTCCAGGAGGAAGTGGAAGTGCACCTACACCACTGATAGGACACCAGCTGTGTCTCTCAAGGTCACAAGGCCTGTTAAAGGTCAAGAGGACATTAAGAACAGCTGCATTTATCCAGCATTTTCTGGATGCCAGGCTTTTCACAGACATCATCCCACCTGTTCCTTACAATGACTGCAGTCACTACTACTCTGTAAAACCCCATTTTACAGACAAGAAAGCTGAGACAGTCAAGTAAATTGCTCAGTAACTCACGTATTTTAAGCGGTAACCTGGGATTATAAACTCAGGACTCCTTCATCCAAAGCCTGTGTTCCTAATTCCTCCACCTCATCACGTTCTTACCTGAGGAACCTGAGCTGGGTTGTAGAGAGGAACAGCCCCTTGTAAGGAGGGTGGCGGAAGCAGAACACCTGGGTTGGAGCAGAGCTCAGAGGAAACGCCCTGTGATGAAAAACAATCGAAACTCGCATCTGTCGATATAGCTGGCTTCCCAGAGCCCGGAATATTGAAGCTTTTCTTGAGCATCAACTTTGCTCAAGAGAAGCAGATAAGAAAAGTTTCCTGATAGAACTCAGGGAAATAAATTTGGTTCAAGTGAGTACAAGCAACCCCTAGGCTGGGGTGGCAATGCAGGGAGGGACACAGGTGTTACCAACCTGGAGCAAGACCAAAGGAAGAGTCACAAAGCATCATACTGGTACTATCACAAAAAGTAACATTACATTCTTTGAAAGGCCTAAAATACAACACTAGTGCTCTATGAGGCTATAAGAAATAAAATGGTTTTTCATGGCAATCAGCATAAAATCATATGGGTGTGCACAAGCCATTGAGAATTTGACCTTTGCCAAGGACAAAATGGTTTGTGCTCAACTGAACTATTGGTGTGGCAATGTAAGATAAGCACTGCATTGATTAACCACTACGTTGGTGGTTCAAATCCACCAACAGCTCCTTAGAAACCCTTTATAGGGTTGTTATGAATCAGAAATGACTCAAGGACATGTAACAACATTAACCTAAAAAGGAAGCCCTGGTTAGGTTGTTGGACTGCTAACCAAAAGGTCAGCAGTTTAAATCCACCAGTCACTCCTCCAGAGAAAGATGAGGCTGGCTGTTCCTGTAAAGATTTACAGTCTTGAAAACCCTATATAGGGTCATTTTAGTTAAATCAACTCAATGGCAGTTGGCAGGGAGTTTTACGTATTAACTTAAAGACTGGAGGTTTGAACCCACCTAACAGCATTGCAGAAGAGAGGCCTAGCCCCCTAGTTCTATAATGACTACAGCCGAGAAAACCCTATGGAGCAGTCCATGTGGGACCAGGAGTCAGAATTGACGACAGCAACGGATTTGGCTGTTTGTTTTGTTTAGTCAAGTACCTGGGTGAATTCTGGCTCCTACTGGGCCAGAGAAAGAGGTGGTTTTCTAGGCTACCCCTAAGCTCTGTGGCATAGTGGATTACATGTTGGACTAATAACTGCAGGTTCGAATTCACCAGTCTATCTATAGGAGAAAACTGAGACTTTCTGCTCCATAGAGATTTATAGCTTTTCAAACCCTAGACACAGTTACTATGAGTCAGAACCGACTTGGAACTTAACAACAATAACACAACACAAAGGAAATGTTCCCTGTATTTCCCATGGATCAGTCCCTGACACGTGGCTCTTGTTCGATGCTCACACAGATCAGGCATGTGGTGGGCTCGTACAGTTGAGCCCGTGGGCTGCTCACCTGAAGCCCCTGCAAGCCTCCAATCCCCATGCCCTCAGCATTTCCACCACTGAGCATGGATCCTTGGGCTTCATCTCCACCTAGAAAGTAACATCGCTGTTTGCCTTGCTCAGGGCTGAGGAGACCCCGCACCCAGAAGGCACCCCACCTTCCTGGGAGGACAGGAGGTTGGCAGTACCTGTGCCCGGGAAGAAGGTGCTAGGGCCCTGCAGAAGCTGGGACCCGGGGGGCGGAGTCAGGGAGAGGCTCAGGCCAGCCTGTGGGGGAGAAGATGTTCTGGAGGTCTCCTGCAAAGGGGACAGTTTGAATTTAGAGTGTTTTGTAGAAAAAGAAAGAACATTAGTGGCTAAGAATTCCACTGGCCTACCTACATTTCTGCAACATCTACAATACTGGCTTTGCCTGCAAACTGCTGCTCTCCCCCAAAACACCACTTTCCTGATATAACTAATTTGTTCTATAGTCCAAATTAGATCCCTATTGCTGGTCCTCTAAAGCTAAAACTCTCCATCCTAACTGTTAAGGCCTATAATAATCTGCCTTTGCCCTTGCTAATCCAATTTATTTCCACAACCTCCCACTGCAAAACCTCTGGTTCACAGGAACTGGGGTAGAGATGGGGCCCTCCAAGGTACTGAGAAGATTTCCTCTGAAAGGCCCAAAGTAGAGGGTTGCATCCTGCCATGCTCCCCCACCCTCCTGCCAGCACCCCCAGAGATTACCTCAGAGTCAGAACTGTCAGACGAGTCTTCGTCTCCAGAAGAGGACACATTGGTTGGCTTTGATCGAAACCAACTGAACCATCTGAATCCTGAGCTCTAGAAGGAAAGGAGAATCCTCTAGAATTGTTGCTCCCTGAGGACCACGTGATTAACCCACCTCAACGTGATAGTAAGGACTCCTGGTGTGGCGCTGTGGGTTAATGCGCTGGACTGAAAAGTCAGTTTGAACCACAACGTCGGTGATTCAAGCTCACCAGCCGCTCCTCGGAAACCCTACACAGGGTCACTATTGGTTAGAACTGACTCGATGGCACTTAACAACAACAACGTGATAGTGATGACATGGGGAAGGGACACAACCAAAGGCCAGAGGCCCATCTGTGCTCTGTTTGGGAAGGGAAGGATGGGAAGGGAGTAAACAGGATGAGAGAGGAAGGGGAGGGAATGGGAGAGAAGGAAAGAATAATTCCCTCCACCTTTGCATTCTCTTCCACATCTCCTAGCTTTTCTCTGTGGGCATTATCTTGGGCAGATTTTTCATCTTCCTCATCGGAGGCCTCCCCGTGGTTCTCCTTGACTGAAAAGGCAGAGGTGTGTGTTCTGGGAGCCAGCGGGACCTGGAATGAAAGAAAAGGACTAACGTTTGTGCAACCCCTAAGAGGTGACGAAGGCACACTGGTATGTGAGCACTCATTTGCCCTGCTCAATAAGTCAATATAATACAGTAGGCTTCAGAGATTATATTTTACTGATGATGAATAAAGGCTTACATGTGATATAGGATTTGCTAGAGGTCTCAAGACAAAGTCTGAACCCAATCTCAGTTCTCACATTACCCTATGGAGTTTTGTCATTTATGCTATGTACATCTCCAGAAAGCATGAGATTTCTAGATCTATGCTCAGCCTGAGGCAGGGAGTATAGAAAGCCATGGCTATAGACTTAAAGGTCCTGGGAACATTCCCACAAAGACCCATAAGCCCCAAAAGACAGAAAAATGTAACAAGTAACGGATCAGATTCATCCTAAAGCTCCAGAATGAATTAGTTGTCTTGCTCGAGGTCAGCTGTGCACTTTGTTATAGTTACAAGTCAAGAAAAGCATAATTTGTACAAAAACCAATCCCACTACCATTGAGTCAATTCTGACTCATAGCAACCCTATAGGACATGGGGTTTCCGAGACTAAATCTTTACAGAAGCTGCCTGCCACTTCTTTCTCCCGTAGAGCAGATGCTGGGTTCACACTGTCAACCTTTACATTAGCATCCCAACATTTAACCCACGGCACCACAAGGGTTTTCATTTGTGTAACCTGGGGGAATACTTTGGTAATACACAGAAAAGGCTTTTATTTTTTTCCACTCTGATTTTGTTGTTGTTGTTAACTACCGGCAAGTCTATTCCGACTCATATCTATTCTACATAGGGTTTCCAAAGAGCAGTTGGTGGGTTTGGACTGCAGACCTTGTGGTTCACAGTCCACTGCTGATCCTACTGCGCCAGACTAGAAATCTAATTAGTATAATGTTGATTATGTGCCAGACACTGTTCTCAATGCTTTATATACAATAATTCACTTAGTCCTCATAACAATCTTGTAATGTAGGTGCTATTTTTACCGTCTAAGGTAATGAAGGATCAGCATTGGACTGCTCACCACAAGGTTGGCAGTTCAAACCCATCAACAGCTTCTTGGAAACCCTATACAGGGTCACTATGAGTCAGAACCGACTCGATGGCACTTAACAACAACAGCAGCAGGGCAATGGAAACAGTTTGTTCTTGGCTATAAATTTAAAGGTTGGAGGTTCAAACCTACCCAGCAGCACCACACAAGAAAGGCCAACCAAGAGAACCCTCTGGTGCAGTTCTCTGTAACACAGGGGGTCACCATAAGGGAGATAAGACTCAACAGAAATGAGACTGCACTTGGTTTTATTATTATCATCTCACTTTACATATGAAGAAACTAAGTCAGAGAAAGGGTAAGCAACCTGTCTCAGGTCACCTAGCTAGTATAGCCTCACCTCCAGCTAGGATTTAAACTTAAGCCACCTTACTCTCCTTCCATGAATTTCTTCTAAATAAATCATTGAAAACACAGGCAATGGAATGTCCATTGCTGTGTTACATATATTACTGAAAGACGGGAGGAGGGAAGAAGGGAAGGAAGGAAGGGTAAAGGCAAAAGAAGAAAAAGACAAAAATGAAGATAGTAAGGAAAACAAGGAAAGTGACCTACTCTAATCTCTGATAATATGGAATGTGCACTGTAAGACCAGCACTGGACTGTGAACCACAAGGTCGGCACTTCCAACCCACCAGCCACACCTTAGAAATCCTATACAGGACCTCAATGAATTGGGACTGACTTGACAGTATTTAACAACAACAACCATGGCCCACCAGGACTTCCAAAGTCTGACCCCTTTGCTATATCTCTCTGGCTGAACTTGTTACTTAGTACTCTCCCCTATTGCTCCCCACTTTCTAGATAAACCAATTCCCTTACTCCACCTTAACTACAAGTAAATTCCTATTTTAGGGCCTTTGCTCTTGCTCAGCCCTCTGCCTAGAACACTGTTCCTGATATTTGCATGGTTCATCTCATCTCCACACTCCATTCTGATCTCTGACCGTCTCAGAGAGAGCTTCCTTAGCCAGCTTAGCTAAAACAGAATCCCTCATGTGTACATCTGCTTATTGTCAGTCACCTCCACTAGAAGGAAGCACCATGCAGTCTTCTATCCGGTTTGCTCATGTATTCCCCAGCCCCTGTAACTGGGTCTAGAGCTCAATGAATATTTGTTAATGTATAAGAGAATGAATGAACATGGTCTGTTTGTGAATGAATGAGAAAGGGAATTAATGAATTATATCAATTTTATACAATGGATTTTGCCATATTAAAAATCCTATTTATGTAGAGCATAGAAAATCTCATTATATAAGGTTAAGTAATAAATAGGAAATAATGTTTTATACACAATTATCTTAACAACCCAACACATACATGCACATGTAGAAAAAACATTGGAAAAAATCATCAAAACATTTACCTGAGATTAGCAGTAACATTTGCTTGATTCTTTCTAGAATACTTTATTTTTCAAGTTTTTTATAACAGTTATATACTATATTTTGGGGAGAGGGACCAAAATAAAGACCAAGGAGGAAGTGGGAAGAGTGCTATTACATTGAGGGGGTTGCAGCTAATGTCAGAAAACAAAAAATGCATAAATTACTGAATGGATAACTAACTTGCTCTATAAACTTTGACTCAAACCACAATAAATCAAATTTTATGAAAACAGTAAAGAAATAAAATCTTTCCGAGACCTGTAGCCCCATTACTACTGGAGAAAATTACATGCTGTAGCACTCCAAGCAGGTGAAGCTGGAGCCCGATTTGAATTTGGGAACAATGCTGTCCATTGCTGAGAGAGGAGTGCAGCGATTCAGCAGTGAGATAGGATGATTCACTAGACCTGGTCACCTCCAGAACCCAGGCAGCCTAACTGAGAAACTATCACAGATGCCTGAGAACCATCTTGGGAATAAAGTAAAGTAAAAATTAAGACCAAAAAATATATCTCCACTTGTGGAACCCCTGAGACCATGGCCTGTAGCCACCCTTCAAGTCTAGAAATAAATTCACCCCATCTCTCAATATTCAGCCAAACAATAGATAACTTTATAAGGGGAACAATAACACTTGGGAGGTATGCACAACTTGTTGTTGTTGTTAACTGCAGTTGAGTTGTTTACACCTGAAAGTGGCCCTGGATAAGGTTTCCAAGGAACAGCTGGTGAGCTTGAACCACCAATCTTGAGGTTCAAACCGGCCTTGCAGTCCAGTACATTACCCACATTACCACACCAGCACTCCAACAACTTGGTATACCATTTAAGACCAAAAGAGTAGCATTTGCCCAAGAATAAAGTTCAGAGTGTTAGGAAAGAAGGAGAAATGGAAACAGGAAAAACAGGGAGGAAGTGAATAAGAGATGTTTCATTGTAGGGACAGCAGGAGACAATGAGATGAAACAACATGTATATGATATGTTGAATAGATTAATGATCTGCTCTGTACACCTTCACTCAATTCACCATAAAAAGAAACACATCTCCAAAGCCTTCCCAGGACAGGAAGAGTACCATGAGCATTTGTGCTTAAGAAGGAAAGAGCGGGCTATCAGAAGGAACAGAGAGCTGAGAGTGGAGCAAACACAGAGTGGTGAGGCCGAGCATAAACAAGAACCTAGCCACTGTCCCAGCTTCAGGATGTAGTCAGGGAGAAACAAGAGAAGCAAGGAGGACCACGAGGTAGAGAGAGCACTGGTGCAAAGCTGAACAAGGGGCTTCCATATGGCTAAATAACTAGAGTGACTGATCAAAACCAGAAGCCTTGGGGAGGGGGCGGGGAGGGCACCAACATCTTGTACTGCTCCATCCTCCTACCTGTGGTTTAGAAATGTGACCATCCAGATTCTGGAAGGGTTCTTGAGACACGGTGTTTACTCCTGCACACAAAACAAAAACAGCAAGTTGGAGTTGTGTTTCTTCCACTCTCCATGAAGAAGGGGTGTGGGGATGTACTAGGATTTCCTCACCACAGCTGGAGTTCAGAGCCCAGGACCCAAAAGGGATCACAGGGAATGAGAAGTCAGCTTGTATATGCCTTTCAATTCCAGTCACTCCTTGCCCAACCACTTCCTCCAAACACCAAGGGTGTTACTTCAGTATTTTGGGAGTCAGAGCAACACTGAACTCTTCACAACTTTAAACTATTCTCTACGACCTTCCCCTTAGTTTGAGTCTCCCAACTAGACTTAGAAGGTCTAAAGTCTAACCCTTCTGGTTGGTTTCCCGCACTTCTCAGGCATCACTTAGACCCTCTGGTCCCAGGTCTGAAGGACCTGGACAAACTCAGAGCCAGTGTGGAATCCCAGCTTCTGCCAGTAGTCCATCACAGTAACCTCCTGGATGCAGGCCAACTTCATAAAATGGACATGCCTATACTATGATGCAGTTCCTGAAAACTTTCAGAAAAGACTAATTGCTACAAAAGGGCATCATGGTTGGTAAAGTCGAGTGAAAATGAGGGAAGCCCTCCAGAAAACGAATTGGCACCACAGCAGCACCAATACACTCAAATATAGCAACAGTTGTGAGGATGGCACAGAATAATTCATTCTACTCTCCATAGGTCATCGTCAGTCAGAGCTGACTCCATAGGCATTACCACCACCACCATGCACACCAGTCTCTCCTAGGAACTAGCATCCACAGGGAGGGGCAGGACTGGCTGCCATTTGATTGCTCTGCTTGTCCCGGTAGAGACAGATTCCCATAGACTAGACTGTAAGAGAGCAAGCTCCTTCAGATATCTGCAGTGTACCCACACAGTGGAAGATGTCAAGCAGGCCCTCAGTAATGTGCACACCCCACCCCACCACGCACATCTTGACCACATCCAACCTACATCCTCTGAAAGGTCCTTGCATTTCCCTCTCCCAAGGCTTCCAGCCCATGTCTTACCAAGGGGCACGTGTGCCTGCAGAACTTCCTCCTGGGCCTTTGCTTCAGAAGTTGCTGTTACTGTCACACTGCTGGCAGTCTCTGGTGGATGGGTCTCAAGAACGGAGTACAGAGGCACAGGTGCCCCCGTCTGCCCTGCACCTCCTCCCACTGGGAAGGTGTCCAGCTGCTGGGGAAAGGGCTGTTGCAGGTTGGGCTGGCTCAGGCCTGTCTCCTCCGGCAGTGGCCACAGGGGTTGTGAGTAGCCTTGATGTCCTGAAAGATCCTGGTAGGAAGTGTTTTCTGAAGACAAAGGGCAAAGAGTTAGAATGGAGACCTGAAACGTGGCATCCACACAGACATAAAGAACATTCCTGCCCATGTCCTCTTTGCAAATCAGTCACAAAAACAGGCTTTGTGGTGTGGTTTCCGCTAAAGTGATGACAAGTAACCCACAGCAACAATGGCAAAAATCTCTTACTGCTCCTCATTTATAGCTTACAAAATATCTCCCTCACTATCTCCTATGATCTCTGAGCCTAAAACCAGATGGACAGATAGCACATCACTCCACAGTTTTTTAATTCACAGATAAACTCTTTCTCCTCTTAAGAGTCCCAAAGTGACTTGGTCGTTTGAAACTTACAAAGTTTCCAGTTACAAATCCAAGTCAGACTGCGGAAATGAAAGCTCTGCTTTCAAAGAATCAGGGCATGCTTTCCCTGGAAGGGAAGCTATTGTTGTTGTTGTTAGGTGCTGTCAAGTCAGTTCCAACCTACAGCAACCCTGCATCAGATTTCCAAGGAGCAGCTGGGGAGCTTGAACCACCGACCTTGAAGTTCAAATGGCTTTGCAGTCTGGTGCATTAACCCTCAGCGCCACACCAGGACTTCGGAAGGGAACTTGGTAGTCATTAATTCTGGCTCTACCATTTTGTTGATACGATAAGGAAGGTAGAAAGTCCCTGGTTACTGCAAATGGTTAACATGCAAGGCCTGCTAGGAAAAAGATAGGAGGACTCCCCAGAGGTACATGGAGAGAATACAGTCAGCCAGACCCACCACTCAGACGCATACTGAGGGGAAAGTAGGGATGTAATGAAAACACTTGAGACATTTACTTCTCCTATAAATTGCAACTGACAGCTCAAAAATCTTAAGAGCTTCCTATGTCCCAGCATAGGGGTAAGTGGTGTGTCAGTAACAGAATTCTCGCCTTCGATGTGGTGGACCCAGGTTCAAGGCCCAGTCAACACACCTCATCACGCACATTCACCACCATGTTTCAGTGGTGGACTGCATATTGCTATTGGCACAGTGGATGCAACAGTGGGCTCAAACACAGCAACAACTGTGAGGATGGCACAGGCCTGGGCAGTGTTTCTTCTAATGTACACAGGATTCACCACGAAGCCGAATCAGCAAGATGGCATCTGACAACAATAACATGATGCTGAATAGGTTTCAGTTGAGCTTCCAGACACACTAGAGAGAAAAACCTAGAAATCTACTTCTAAAAATCAGCCACAGTGGTCCGATCCCCAACTAATCATGGGGACAGCGTAAGACCAAGCAGAGTTTAGTGCCTTGATGCGTGGGGTCACCATGAGCCAAGGGCCGACCATGGAAGCTAACAACAACAGAGTCCCCAGCAATAACACAAAATACACACCTCTGACCAAAAGAAACGTATCTAGGCAGCAAGAAGAAACTAACATAGGTGAAGTGATTACCAATATGGGAATTTACAAGTGTCAGGATGCATGTGGACTGTGGAGGAGGTAGGTCTCAGAATTTCATAGGCAGACAGAAGAGCAAAGAAGTACTCTGGAAAAGGACGGGCAAAGTGTTTTTGGAAATTATTTTAACCAGAAATGACTACAACCAGTTTAGACCAGCCCCAGGTGCTTTGACCTACAAACCTTAACTGATATTTTCAAACCTACATTCTCTTGAGAATTCATCACAGTAAAGGCAAGAATATGTATACCTATTATAAATGAAAGAAAGTGTATGGGACCCTATCATATACTTGTCCCCATTTCAAAAGGACCCACCTTTGTTGAAATGACAACTTTCCAAAAACCTATCCCTCTTTCCTCAACTAACCTCCTCAAAGTCTATTATAAAAGGAGTATTATGAAAGTCCATCTTTCTCAGATCAAAATCTTTGGTTTCTCCTCTTGGATGCCAAGTTTCCTTGCTCACTCCCAAATAAAATCTTTGTTAAAATTTCTATACCTCGATTCTAGAATCTGTCATTTAACAATTTTATCTTAAATTATTAGCTATTGTTGTTGTTAGGTGCCATCCAGTCGGTTGCGACTCATAGCAACCCTGTAGAGGGTTTCTGAGGCTGTAAATCTTCACTGGAGCAGAAAGTTTCATCTTTCTCCCAAAGAGAGGCTGGTGGGCTCGAACCATAGACCTTTGTGCTTATCTAATGGAACCACCGCACTCCCTATCAGGTATTTGCATGGTCCGTTTATCCGTGAAGTACCTGTGGTTGTTCCTCTGACACCAGAAATGTTTGAGTAAGTAGAATGCAGATCGTCAATGTCTTCTGCCACCTTCTGCTATTTAAAATAAAAATCCTTTAAGCAACACAAACAAAAGCATGAACAGAAAGCAAAATAGTTTTAAAAGTAGGTCAAAATGATAGTTGCAGTGAACTAACAAGCTAACCAAGCCTGCGTTGAGAACTCGGGGGGGCTGGGAGGGGCGCAGAGTCTCCGCCAACTCATCTCCCAGCTCTACATGCGCACTGGGGCCGCCTCTACCGAAGGAAGAACTGAACTGTGGGTCTCATTGTGTGCTGGAAAAGCCACCTTGTCCTTTCTTCAGAACAGAACGGAGGAAAGAAAATGGAAGAGGCCCTGTCCCAATTACTGTTCCAAATACTACCGGCAGCTCCTGCAATTGTCAGAACAAAAGGGAAAGGCCCTGAAATCATTGAAGCAATTGCCCTACATTACATGAAAGTGACACGGATCCACTGTGGTCTATTGTTCCTAACAGAGATGTGGAGGCTTTGATGGTCATGAAACCTATTTTCTGTGGCCTTAGAGAAGGGTGGCAGGCATGACATTTGGGATGGTGGGGGCGGGGAGCAGCCTCTCACTAGGTGACACAGGCAAGGGGCGCAGTGGGTACTCTGACCCCTACCCTTTCCCGGGACAGACTGCCTGGTGTCAATAGGAGACACCACAGTCTCGCAGTGGGGCAGGGGGAGGCACGAAAGGTCCTGCTGATGTCAGTGCTTACTCTGGAAAGAGCCACCCCACCAGCCCGCTGGCTCCACCTCTTTCACCAGCATCTCCTGGTGCCACCTCCGAAGTTGAACCAGCCAGTCCGGCTCCCGGTCTCTGTCTCCATGGCGCCTTTCCAACAACAAAGGATCGGACAGCTTCAGTTTTTCAGCTAGCTGTGCCAGGTTTCCAAACGGGTGCGGGTACAGAAAGGGAAAAGACCAAAGGAAGGGAGAGAGACGTTCATGGAAAAGCAAAAGAAAACGAAAAAGAGAGAGAGCATTGTTGTTTTTAAGTGCCCTAGAGTAAGTTCCAGATTACTGATGTGGCACTGTGGACCACTATTGGACTACAAACCACAAGGTTGGCAGTTCAAACCCACCAGCTGCTCCTTGGAAACCCTACAAGGTTCATTATGTGTCGGAACCAATTCGGTGGCACTTAGCAACAACAACAAAGTTCCAGCTCATAAAGACCTTTGTATAGGGTTTCAGAAGAACTGCTGGTGGCTTTGAACCACTGACCTTGTGGTTAGCAGTCCAGTGCTTATCCTACAGCACCACACCAAAACTCCAAGAGAACATTGATGTTGTTAAGTGCTGTCGAGTCAGTTGCAACTCATAGTGACTCTGTATAGGGTTTCTGAGGAGCAGCTGGTAGGTTTGAATTTTGACCTTGTGGTTCGTAGTCCTGTTCTTAGTGCTAATCCTACAGCACCACACCAATTGAACATTAACTCCTTTAAATTAAGATGATAAAGAATAATTGAGAAATAGAAAATTCAACAGATGTTGTTAAGTGCTGTTGTGTTAGTTCTGACCCATAGCGACCCTGTATAGGGGGGGTTTCCAAGGAGCAGCTGGTGAGCTTGAACCACCAACCTTGCAGTTCAAACGGCTTTGCAGTCTGACGCATTAAACCCCAGCACCACACCAGGACTCCTAAAATTGCAACATAAAACAACCCATTCTGGTGTTAGATACTATACAAAAGGTGAAGAGACCCGGTTATTGGGCTCTGGGCTTTGAAGCAGTGCTTTTCAAACTTCAAGGTGCAGATTCCACCGGGCCTGGTTAAATGTGAATGCGTGTTCTGTACTTCTGGGTGGGTGCTGAGGCTCTAGGTTTATAACAAATACCATGATGCTGATGTTGCGGGTCTAGGTTCTACCTCATGCCCCCAAACCTTCCTACTTGTCAGTCCACTCTGGGTCAATGAGCGCTATGCAACCATCTCCAACATATGGAGACTTAGAGCCACAGACTTTATTGGTTACAGAATCCAACACTTGGGACTAGTCTAAAAACAAAACAAAACTTAAGAAAGGCTTCTTTTTCATTTTCCTCGCCAGCTAATGGAGTATTCTTAAATTAATTGCCACAATTGGCCTTATAGCTGTTTTCTTCCCTAGGAACTATAGGTTGGTAGGTTTTTGTTTTCTATTATTTTTTTGTTTTTTTAAATGTGTCCCACATGTGATAAAATATTTGATGCATTTGAAAGCATTTTAATAAGGATCATTTCCTGTTTTAATCACTAAAATATCTTTTCTAAGCCGAGCTTTTATAATTAGAGCTGTTCACAGTAGCATGTAGTTTTACTATACCAGAAAAGGCAGATTCAGGAATGAATTTCTCATAGCATATGGTTGGTCCCCAGTCCCCCAATCGCACCACCACCACCACAGCACCCCCACACCCTCCCCAAACAGCATCCTTCTGCGTGCACAGTGTGGTCAGGCCTCTGCTTATCACATCGGGGCATGCATGCATGGTCAAAGACAGCCACGGGCACCAATTTTACAGCACGTTCAAAGATGAAATGTAGAGTCTAAGCTGCTTTACAAAGGCCTTCTCTGACGGTGGAAGATAAAACACCTGCAAAGAACCCTTTGAGAAGCTCACCTTAATGAGTTCCACTAATAGCACGGGGTGACTGCTCTCTTCCTGACTACGGAGGGCCACGCCAATTGCTTCGCAGTAATGCAAGGCCTGGGATGTGAGGCCGTAATCAGCCAGACGGGAAGCATAAAGGAGCTTATAGACCTGTGAAGGGGAACAGGGCCAATGACGAGTCCATCCAGCAAGGAAAGAGGGAGAGAGAAATGTAGATAAGACTTCTTGGAAGTCAGCTGACTGCCAGCTTCCACTAACTCTGAAATCCAAATATCAAAGAAGGCCTGTGCCACTAGGGGCATTGTCTATGTGCATGGGCACAATTCCAAGTCCATCCTGTGGTTCCTGCAGCATCCAGAAAAGGATGGAAATTGCATCCACTCAGCCTTCCTAGAGCCTGGTCACCATGGAAATGCTCACTTTTTATCAGTCCAGCCCCATCTCTGAAGGACCTGAAGGGTATGGGATGTAGAACTGAGCACCAGGACCAAAGGAAGAAGGAGTAAGAGACAGACCCTGCTGCAAGGGGTGGGAAATCCCATGGAGTGCAGAGTGACAGACTGGCATGGGTCAACTTTCAATAAAACCAGCTAATATCACTACTGTTAACCTAAAACAGAATCAAGATCACGAGGAGGTGGGAGGAATGAAGAGCAGAAAGGTATTGATCCTAAAGACTGAAGTGCCTGCACCCAGGAGGAACTCATGAGATAAGCAAAGCTTTGTGGGAGAAGTGGGTCTAACAAAGCTCTTAAATCAGGGATGAAACTATTTGAGTCCTTGCTTTATATACAGTATCTCATTCATATTAGAATTCTTATTTTATATTTTACAATGTGTTTTTATGGGTAGGTTGTTGCTGCTGCAGAACATTTGTACCAAGCTCTGTTGTTGTAAGTGCTGTTAAGTCAGTTCTGACTCACAGGGTCTCTGAGGCTGTGAATCTCTGTGAGAGCAGAAAGCCTCAACTTTCCCCCTGCATACTAACACTGAGGGAGATATGCATAATCTCTAGAACAGGCCTGCTCTAAGGAAGTTCCTTGCAATAGGAAGAGAGGACACGGCACATGAAAATCAACATCATAATACAGAGTGTATGAGTTCATGTCAAAAGCCCCCTGAAGTCCAGCTGTGGGCACCCTCACTGTGAATGAAGGATTCTCTTTGCCAGTCACTCTTCTGTGGTATTTTGTTGTTGTTGTTGTTAAGTGCCGTCGAGTCGGTTCCGACCCATAGCGACCCTGTACAAGGTTTCCGAGGGTGTAAATCTTCACGGGAGTAGAAAGCCTCATCTTTCTCCCGCGGAGCTGCTGGTAGTTTCGAACTGCTGACCTTCAGGTTCACAGCCCGATTCGTAGCCACTACGCTACCAGAGCTCCATTACAAAAACGAATTCCGTCCTCATGTCAGTTTCCTTACACATACTATTATAACCCCCATTTCACAAATGGGGCCACTGAGCACCACTATTGAAGTCACACTTGTAAGAGTGGCTAGAGAAGGCTTCACGGAGGAGGGGGTGAAGGAGAACACACCCCAGGCCTGGACATGAGGGTGACAAGGTGCTGATGTTAGAATTGTTCTCTATTCAGTCACAGGTCATTGAGTGGAGAAGTTGAACAGGACTTAGAACCTGCAATTCAGATGTTACCTGCACAGTTCCTTCCCTGTGAAGGAAGAAAGAAGGCTGAGGCCCAAGGACAGGACACAGAAGAATTTCCCGAGGTAGAAGATAGGGCGGGGAGCAGGGCGAGAGGCCCACTGCATTGGGTGTTGGCGTGGGTGCACCTGCTCCGGCAGGATGGCTGTGGAGGCTGAGGAGAGCCAGAGCTGTTCAGAGAGAGAGAAGAGCAGAAAAAGCAGCGGAGCGGGTGGACCTGGACTCAGGGTTGCAGTTCAATTCTTATGTGTCAGGAAGAGGCAGACTGCTACCAGCCAAGAGACCTCTGTAAGACTTGGCTTTCATACCTCAAAATGCAGACTGTAGGGGGTATAAAAAGAACTCCTAAGCCTCCCCATGCTTGAGCTGATGAAGAAATGTACAATGTATGAGTTACCCCAGTATTAGATGGACAAGACCAAAGCTGGGAATACAGTTGTCCACCAACCTGGCATAGCTAAGATGACGGCCTCATCTGGGTCCACTTACCTGGAAAGAAGGGATGAAGGACTTGGGGCGGCCCAGCATCTGACAGTACTCAAAGATCTCTGTCCTCTGGATAGCCTCAGTTGTAGCAAATTTCAAAAAGTCTTGTCTAAAACCATGGAGATAACAATAAAAGAAAGCAAGGCCAGGGAATATATACAAATATTAATCCTAGAAGACAGCCAAACAAGCATTGCATTGATTCATGGTAAAGTTTCTGTCCTGGGCTGATTTCTGGACTACTCCAGGAATAAAAGGAGCGTCTGGGCGCTCATTGGGTGTGTTCTGCCTCTGCCCTCCCTGCCTTCTTGAGGCTGGAGAAGGAATTCAACGAAACACAGCACCAAAGGCACTGGGAGAGTAGGGGTCTCTGCCATCTGAGTTAGAGGGCAACCTAAGACAAGCAGAATCTGGAACAGCCAGTCTGCTCACCAGGCCAGCTCACTGGGCTCTAAGTCCTCCTCTTGAGCACCTGAGTGCTCTTAGTGTCCTAAAGCCTGGAACAACGTGTGTAAAACCACCCCTAGCCTGACCATGGTATTTTCCAATAACCTCATATGCATGCGAAAACGGGACAGTGAATAAGGAAGACCGTAGAAGAATTGATGCTTTTGAGTTATGGTGTTGGAGGAGACTATTGAAAGTGCCATGGGCTGCCAAAAGAACCAACAGATCTGTGTTGGAAGAAGCACAGCCAGAGCGCTCCCTGGAGGCCAGGTTGGCCATACTTTGTCTCTCATACTTCGGACATGTTGTCAGGCGGGACCAGCTGGAGAAAGGATATCATGTTTGGTAAGGTGGAAGGTCAGAGAAAAAGAGGAAGAGACCCAGCAAGATAGACTGACAAAGTGGCAGCATCAATGGGCTCAGTGTGGCAACAACTGTAAGGTTGGCCCAGGACCGGGCAGTATTTCGTTCTGTTGTGTGTATGGTCGCTATTAGTCAGTACCAAAAGAAGACACCTAACAACAACAACAACAGCTTGAGCAAACCCAGTTCAGCAGCGCCAGGTCTTCCTCCTAAACACGCTGAGAGGTAACTATGTTGTTGGATGCTGTGGAGTCGGTTCTGACTCACAGAAACCCTATAGGATAGAGTAGAATTGCTCCTTCCATGGAGAGGCAATGGGTTCGAACCACTTACCTTTCACTTAGTAGTCAAGTGTTTAACCATTGTGACACCAAGACCCCTGCAAGCTTAGTGCCTCTTATGCCTACTGTTGCTGTTAGGTACCATTGAGTCAGCTCCCACCCATAGCAGCCCTATGCACAACAATAGAAATACTGCCCAATCCTGCATCATCCTCAGAGTTGTGTTTGAAGCCACTGCTACAGCCACTGTGTCAATCCATCTCACCAAGGGTCTCTTTCTTTTTTGCTGACCCTCCACTTTACCCAACATGATATCCTTCTCCAGGGACTGGTCCCTCCTGACAAAATGTCCAAAGTATAAGAAGCAAAGTCTCACCATCCTGACTTCTAAGGAACATTCTAGTTATACTTCTTGCAAGACAAATTTGCTTGTTCTTCTGGAAGTCTATGGTACTTTCACTATTCTTCACCAACACTGGAATCCAAATGTATTAATTCTTCTTTGGTCTTTTCTAATCATTGTTTACACATGTATGTGAATGAGGTGGTTGAAAATATCATGGCTTGGGTTAGGTGCACTTTAGTCCTCAAATTGACATCTTTACTCTTTAACACTTCAAAGAGGTCTTTCATATCAGATTTGCCCAATACAATATGGCATCTGATTTCCTGACTACTGGTCCTAGGAGCATTGACTGTAGATCCAAGTAAAATGAAATCTTGACAATTTCAATCTTTTCTCTGTTTATCATGATGTTCACTGGGTCGATTGTGAGGGGTTTTGTTTTCTTTGCGCTGAGTTGTAATCCATACTGAAGACCTGAAATCTGTGAAAAGCCCAGAACTTTTAAAAAGCTATCCTTTAAACAACACACATGAAAGAAGGAATGATTTGAGATGACCTCAAACCCACTGTCATCAAGTCGATTCCGACCAGTAGCAACCTCATAAGATGAACAAGAAACTGCTCCCTAGGGTTCTGAGACTAAATCTTTATGAGAGCAGACAGCCTCATCTTTTCCCATAGAGAAGTTGGTGGGTTTGAACCGCCAAACTTGCAGTGAGCAGCCCAACGCTTAACTACAGGAATGCTAAAAAGGAAGGCAAGGCAGGCAATTGAGAAGGCTGCTGAGCCAGAAATCAAATAACAGGATGTTCATTCAGCCCCACAGGAAAGGAAATGAGCAAATGTCATCAGAGGGGGTAGCAAGAACCCCAACAAAAGAATATCCCAAACCTCTCCCCTCAACAGTTCATCATGATGTTTGAAATCTCAATCACCAGAGTTATTCTTGGCTTAGGACTTTATCTCCAGAAACATCCTCTTGAAACAGCATAGCACAGAGACATATTAGCCCATACACATTAATTGTCACATTGGCATAGAGGAACTTCTTTGATAAGCACATGATCTGCTACTAGAGACCAGGTCCTGGAGAGAACCAGCTGAGTTGGGTAGAGTCCTACAGTGGCAGGCAGTTTGGTACAACCATTCAAAGTTTTACAGCCTGCCTGCCTGGGTTCCAAGTCCAACTGGACCCCACCATTGTTGTATGATTTTAGACATGGTATTTAACCTTTCTGTGCCCTAGGTTCCCTCCTGCATGAAATAAAAATTAAGAATAGACCTTCTCATAACAGTCCACAAACACTTTGGTGAGTAGCAAGAAGGGTCTTAAAAATTCATGCGTGGCCATCTAAGATGTAACTATTGTTCTCTCCCTGTCCAAAGGAAAGAAGAGAGTTGAAAAATGAAGACACATGGAAACAATTAGTCCAGAGACTAACAGACCATGAGAACATGGTCTCCATGACCCTGACACCAGAAGAACTAAACAGGGCCCTGCTAACACCACTAGCTGCTCTGAAAGGGGTAACATTTGAAGGTCCTGAATAGACCTTGGAACAAAACTCAAGGTCATCAGAAAGAGACCAGGCTTACAGGTTGGGTAGAAGGTGGTGGAACCTCAAGACTAAGGCCTTTAGCCATCCTTCAGGTCTAGAACTGACTCAATTTTCAGTCAGTATTTTCAGTTGAATACCTAAATAGGTATTCAAGGGGACAACAACACTAGCGAGGTGCACACATCATGGAATGGCCAACCATTTGAGATCAAAAGTGCACCTAAGGACAAAGTTGCAAAGGGTTGGGAAAGAAGGAAGAATGAAAACAAGATGCATGGGGAAGAAGTGGGATAAGAGACGTTACTTGGAGAGGACTGCACTCAGTGAGAAGAAACAAAGTGTAGGATTTGTTGATTGTAAAACTGATGATCTGCTCTGTAAACCTTCACCCAATTCACAATAAAAAGTTTTAAAGAAAGACTTGACCTTCTTCATATGACAATTTTTTAAGATAATTTAAGGAAATACTGTACTATTAATAAAATAACAAAGCAAAAAAAAAAAAAAAACACCAGTTGCTGTCAATTGGAACTCATATCAAACACATGTGTGTAGAGTAGAACTGTGCCCTATAGGTTTTCAAGGCTGGATCTTTCAGAAGCAGATCACTAGGGCTTTCTTCTGAGGTACCTTTGGGTAGGTTTGAACCAACAACCTTTACAGTTAGTAGTCAAGTTAGCATCCATTTGTGCCATCTAACTATTTGTGGCATAACATAAGAGCATGTTATTGTTGCTGTTTTAAAGTGCTGTTGAGTCAGTGCTGACTCATAATGACCCTTTATAGGGTTTCCAAAGAACCACCAACTTTTCAGTTCAAACCCACTTTGCAGTCAGTCGCATTAACCCACAGCACCACACCAGAAGTCCAGAACGTCTAAGTTTAGCTTAGTAAAGCAAAACTACTATGGAGAATAGTGATAAGAGACCAAAAACATGGATTGCTGGGGAGCAAATAAGTCTGTTTGTCCCGTTATGCATTCCCTAAAAGCCTTTTTTTTTTGGTTGGTTATGAGCCGTGGAGTCGGTTCCAACTCATACTGACCCTGTACAGGGTTACCAAGGCTGTAAATCTTTACAGGAGCAGAAAGCCTCTTCTTTCTCCTGCAGAACCGCTGGTAGTTTCGAACTAATGACCTTAAGGTTCACAGCCCAATTCATAATCACTATGATACTAGGAGTCTTGGTGTGGCGCTGTGGGTTAATGAGTCAGACTGCAAAGTCATTTGAACTGCAAGGTAGGTCGGTGGTTCAAGCTCACCAGCCACTCCTTGGAAACTCTATCCAGGGTCGCTATGGGTCAGAATCGACTTGATGGCACTTAACAACAACAACAAAGGCTTTTTTTAAGGCCCTTCTGTGTAAAATCCTAATGCTATAACCAAAAGAGAATAAATGATTTTGTGGGACGCTGAGTAGCTTGTGGGCATGCTGGAACCCCAGAGAGAGGCTTTACATAAACTTTTTCTACTTCTCAGTTTTGCTAGGATGGATCCTGAGCTCTTAGAACTTGCCCAGGGCTGCCTAAACCAGCCTCAAGCCTTCAAGTTTATCGTATTTGGTTGTGGAACCAGAGTACCACCTAGTGGATAAAGTGGCACATTACAACCCAAACGCACTAGCGTCTAAACTTCCCAGGGCAGACCGTAGACCTGAGGCCCCCTGGTGGTGTGATGCCGCACCCACTGGGCATCTCCTTAAATTCCAGATATACGGACCCACTCCAGCAAATATTCACACAACAAAGTGGAAAATGAGGCCATGAAACCAACCCCCTAGGAACATCCTCCCCACTTCATTTCCCAAAAGAAAAAAATCACATACCTGTGGCTGCTGCCCAACAAGGTCAGATGGTCTGTCTTTACCGTGTAGTAGCCAAAAGGCATGTGAGCCACGAGGTAGCAGAAGTGAGCAGCCTCCACAAGCCCCTTCCCAGCTGCAAGAGGAGAGTAACCCAGTCATAGACCATCCCCCTGCAAGGACCAGCACCCAGAGGAGAGAAGGGGTTGTAGTCTTACAGGAAGAAATGAATGAACTTACACGGGACTCAGAAATACCACATACCCTCCATTCCCTCCCACCAGCAATTTTGACCTCATTCATAGGTTACATTTCAATTCTCTCCAGCTGGAGCAATGCACTCTGTCATGTTCCCTATGGTGGATATTTTTAATGGTTTGTTTTATTATTCTTGTTGAGAACATGCACAGCAAAACATACACCGATTCAACAGTTTCTACATGTACAATTCAGTGACACCGATTGCATTCTTCAAGTTGTGCAACCAACCATTCTTCCCCACCTTTTCTGAATTGTTCCTTCCCCATTAACACAAGCTCACTGCCCCTAAGGTTCCTATCTAATCTTTTGAGTTGAGCTCTTAAAAGAGCACAATGTTTAAGACAGACATTCTTTTCTAGTTGAGCTAAACTATCCTTTTGTTTTAAGAAGACTTCAGGGGAAATTTTTGGTTTAAGGTTTAAAGATGATCTCAAGGCAATAGATCTGGGGGCTCCTGCACCTTCCATGGCTCCAGAAAGTCTAGATTCCATGGGAATTTTACATTCTTCTCTACATACATTTATTATAAGTGCTCTAACATTTAAATCCTTCCTGAAGATCAGACATGATGGAGAGATACTTACACCCAAGCAAAGAGGTGAACCATTGCAGCGGCAGTTCTTAAACAGGGTCTCTGGGAGCACTAATGTTCTTCTTACCAAAATCAAACAATAGGAAACTTTTTTAGTGCTCAAAATACCGCACCAATCACCAAATGTTTCCCAGTTTAAAAAATGTTCTCCCCTACACAAAATGGAATACTATGGAACGTTGAAGAATAACAATGCATCTATGAAACATCCACTCATAATGTGGAGGAACCTGGAGGACATTATGTTGAATGAAATTAATCCATCACAAAAGGACAACTAGTGTATGAGAACACACTGTAAAAAGTCAAGAAAAGGTTTTCCCTTCTACGCAGTCACAGTAGTCAAAACAGCCTGGTACTGGCACAATGAAGGACACACAGATCAATGGAAGAGAATTGAGAACCCTCAAGTGAATCCATCCACGTAGTCAGTGTCAGTTGATCTTTGACAAAAGACCAAAGTGCATTAAATGGGGAAGATACTGACTCTCCCACAAATGGTGCTGGCACAGTTGACAATCCATTCACATAAAAATGAAACAAGACCCATATCTCACACCATATACAAAAATGAACTCAACATGGATTAAAGACCTGCATGTAAACCCTTGAACTATGAAGATCATCAATAAATACATAAGGACCAACTCAGGGACTCTGATCCATGGCATAAATACACCACCAAACAGAACTGAAAACACACAGAAGACAAAATGGATGACCGGGACCTCCTAAATACTAGACATTTACATGCATCAAGAAGTTTCACCAAACAAACAAAAAGAGAACCCACAGACTGTGAAAAAAATGTTTGGCAAAAGACTACTTTCCAAAATTTATAGAACACTTAAACACCTCAACAAGAACACAAATAATCCAACTTTTAAATGGGCAGAGGATATGAACAGACACTTCAACAAAGAAGACATTCAGGCCAACAAACATATGAAAAAATGCTCAAGATCTTTAGCCATTGTTGTTGTTAAGTGCCATCGAGTCAGTTCCAACTCATAATGACCCTGTATAGGGTTTCTGAGGTTCACAGTCCAGTGCTGAACCTACAGTGCCACACCAGAAGCCCATTAGCCACCGTCGTTGTTAGGTGCTGTCGAGTCAATTCCTACACAAAGCGACCCTGTACAGGGTACCCTTTCCAAGGAGCAACTGGTGAGTTTGAACCATACTGACTTTGCAGTCCAGCGCATTAACCCACAGCGCCACACTGGAACTAGAGAGATGCAAATCAAAACAACGAGATAACATCTTACTCCAGCATTAACAGAAAAGTTAAAACAACAAATGCTGGCGACGGTGTGGAGAGACTTGGCCCCTCCTACAGTGCTGGTGGGACTATAAAATGGTACAACCACTGTGGAAAATGGTATGGCATTTTTCTCAAAAAGTTGGAAACTGAAATACCCTATGACCCAGCAATCCCTCTACTTGGAATATATCTTTAAGAAATAAGAGCAGTGACACAAATAGATACATACACACCCATGTTCACTGCCACTAGTCACAAAAGCAAAAAGATGGAGACAGCCTAAGTGCCCATCAACAGAAAAATGGTTAAACAAACTTGGTGCGTACATGCAATGGAATATTATACAATGTTGAATAACACAATTCTGCAAAACATCTTACAACGTGGGTTGTATGAGACCACTCTTATAAAAAGTTAAGAAAAGATTTTCTTGTTAAATGAAACATTCTACGATGGTTACTAGACTCCTGGTGTGGTACTATAGGATCAAGCACTGGACCACAAGGTCTGTTTGTCACAAGGTCAGCAGTTCATACTCACCAGCCACTCCTTGGAACCCCTGTCCAGGGTCACTATGAGTCAGAACTAATTCAATGGCACTTAACAACAACAACAAAATGATGGTTACTAGGAAAGGGAGGAAAGGACTTATTCACAGGCTAGAGTGTAGGCATGGGTCAACATGGGTCAATATGAGGGAGTTTGGCAGAGGAAAGATGAAGGTAGCAGGAAACACAGGGAGAAGTGCAAGAATTAAAGGAAATAGAGGTAAATACTGTTAACTGATGGTACACGGAGGGGATTGCAATCATTGTAATGACGCAAAGTATATTATTTGCTGAATATAAAATTGATGATCTGCTCTGTAAACAAAACAAAATAAAATAAAAGGTTTTTATTCTAAAAGACACATTCTCTGATAGGGTAGGAGGGGAGAGGGAATTATTCACTAGCTACAGAGTAAAATTTTGCTGAAGATAATTTTTTAAATGGCTGAACAGTACATCCACAGAGAACTGCTAGAAATTCAAGACGGATTCAGAAAATGACGTGTAATTAGAGATATCATTGTTGATGTCAAGTGGATCTTGACTGAAAGCAGAAAATACCAGAAAAAAAAATGTTTATTTGTGCTTTATTGACTATGTAAAGGCTCTGGTAGCGTAGTGGTTACAAATCGGGCTGTGAACCGCAAGGTCAGCAGTTCGAAACTACCAGCTGTCTAGATGAGGCTTTCTTCTCCCGTAAAGATTTACAGCCTCGGAAACCCTGTACAGGGTCTCTATGAGTCAGAACCGACTCCACAGCACATAACAACAACAACAAAAGGCTTTTGACTGTGTGGAAAGCTATGGATAACATTGTGAAGAATAGAGATTTCAGAACACTTAACTGTACTCATGAGGAACCTGTATAGACCATGAGTCATTTGCTCCAAGAGAACAAGGGTATACTAATAGTTTAAAATCAGGAAAGGTGCATGCCATAGTTGTATTCTTTCACCATATTCATTCAATCTTCATGTTGAACAAATAATACAAAAAGCTGGATTACATGAAGAAGAATGTGGTATTAGGATTAGAGGCATACTAAATAACAATCTGAGATATGCAGAAAATACAACCTTGTTTTCTGGAAGCAAAAATGACTTAAAAGTACTTACTGATGAAGGTCAAAGTTGACAGCCTTCAGAATGGGATGCACTTCAATATAAAGAAAACAAAAAACCCTCACCACTGGACCAATAAATAACACGATAAATGGAAAAGATTGAAATTGTCAAAGATTTCCTTTTGCTTGGATCCACCATCAACACTCATGGAAGTAGCAGCCAAGAAATCAAACGACATATTGCATGAGGCAAATCTGCTGCACAAGACCTCTATAAAGTGTTCAGGAGCCAAGATATCAGTTTGAGGACTAAGGGGCACCTTACCCAAGTCATGATATTTTCAATAGCCTCATATACATGTGAAAGTTGGAAAATGAATAAGGAAGACTATAAAAGAATTGATGAATTGGAGTTATGCTGTTACAGAATACTCAAAGTACCATGGACTGCCAGAAGAACAAACAAATCTGTGTTAGAAGAAATACAGCCAGAATGTTCCTTAAAGGTCAGGATGCTGAGACTTCTTCTCTCATATTTTGAATATGTTATCAGAAGGGACCAGTCCATAGAAACGGACATCATGCGTGGAAACATGGAGGATCAGTGAAAAAGAAGAAGACCCCCAACAAGATGGACTGGCACTGTGGCAGCAGCAGTGGACTCAAGTGTAACAACAATTGTGAGGCTGGCACAGGACCGGGCAGTGTTTCATTCTGTTGTTTATAGGGTCACTATGAGTCAGAACCAACTAGATGGCACCTAAGAACAACAAGGGTAGACACATGTTAACTTGGGTGGTGGAGCAGGCAGTTAAATATATATATGTATTTTGTTGTTGTTGTTGTTGTTAAGTGCCATTGAGTCAGTTCAGACTCATAGTGACCCTATATAGGGTTTCCAAGGAGTGGCTGATAAGTTTGACCACCAACCTTGCAGCTCAAACCAACCTTGAGGTCAAATAGCTATCCTACGGCATCATACCAGAATATATATATATATGAAATATTTACAATAGACAAATGTATGGAGACTAGAGTCTATTTATTAGTGTTCACCAAGAGTCATTTCGTAGTGGGACCCTGAGCTTCTGTTAAGGCCAGAGGGAAATCTGGGAAAGAATGATGATGTCACACAATATGATGAAATTAATGTCACTAAATTGTACTGCAAAAAACATTAAAATGGTGTATTTGCTACATATATACTCACCATAATTTTTTTAATTGGAAAATTCATAAATATAGAATCTTTGAATAAAGAGGGTTAATTGCAAATGGAATAAGCACATTACTTCAATACCACAAACATTTGCTGAGCACCTACCACACTCTATTAAGTACTGTACTGGTAATTGAATGAGGCAATAAATTATTGTTGCTCATTTAAATGAAAATGAAAATGTTCTCCCCAATATTTTCTGCTACCTTGAAATTGAATTAATTCAAGTATGTAAAGTACCAAGCGTGGTGCCTGGCACCCAAGAAAACCTGCAAAAAAGCTTTCATTTCCCTATCTACGATTGCGCTGAGTAGCATGCTGTCTGGCGGGCCCCACCGTACATGTAGCTACATTCACAGGGCAATAGCTCACCAAGTTCCACAGAGAGCACCAGGACTTCTAGATGTTCTGCCCTTTGAATGAATGTGAGAACCATTGATCTGGAACATTAATAGCCCCTCAGTGACTAATGTCACCCATGTGTTAACTCTATCTGCAGGGGACTCACACCCAGGGTAGAAAATAATTGCCAAGGATGCCCCTCCCCAAGAAAACACCAGAGTCACGGGGTATGGCCACCATTGACTCACAGCAGAGATTCTAGGATGGAAAGAGGCAGGAAGGACGCTCCTTTTCCTGCGATTCTTTGCCCAAAACACCGAGGATCCCGAGCTCAGGGGAAGCTTGGCCCATAGACTCTGGCCCCACATAGAGCCTAAGAATTTGAGGACAGCATGTTGAAAGTCTGGCTGCCTGCCCGGAGAGTCAGATCTGGCTTCTGCTTACCCAGGGTGTCACCCATGGTAACAATTGCACGCTGATGAAGCTCCGAGTCCCCAGCTTGATTCGACAGAATCACTGCCAAGTGAGGCCTCCAGTCTCCCCACTGCTTGTCCCCACAACACTGAAAAACATCAGAAAAAGTAAAAGATTTACTAAATGTTGTTGTTGTTGTTGTTGTTAAGTACCACGGAGTCAGTTCCGACTCATAGTGACCCTGCACAGGGTTTCCGAAGCTGTAAATCTTTCTGGAAGCAGAAAGCCTCATCTTTCTCCCGCGGAACTGCTGGTAGTTTCGAACTGCTGACCTTGTGGTTGGCAGACTGACACGTAACCACTACGCTTCCAGAGCTTCTTAAAGATTTACTGAATAGCATATGGATAACCAGAATATGAAGTCCCTGGGTAGTGCAAATGATTAAGTATTTGAATAGGAGCCAAAAGTTTGGGGATTTAAATCCACTCTTGGATGCTTTGGAAGACAGGCCTGGGGCTCTAGTTCCCAATGGTCACAACCTTTGAACGCCCTATGGAGCTGTTCTGCTCAGCACACACAGGGTGTCCAGGAATCAGAATCACCTTGACTGCAACTAACAACAACCAGACTGTAGGCAAAGCATGTTATTGTCTGTTACCTGGTTTAGAAGAATTCATAGAAGGTCCTTCTACTTCCT